ATTGTAAGTGGTGAATATTGTGGGCAGATTCCTTGTGGTTAGCTAAGTATTGTTACATAGAGCTGTAGCAGTAGGCCGGCTTAAACTGTTTCCGTCTTACGCCCAGCATCGCTGTCCTTCTCAGCACCATCTATGAATTGTCGCATGGTCTTCGACTGCATGCATTTGAAATTTCAAATGCAAACTTTGTCGATGCAATTGTTATGCTTGTTTATTCCTCGGACCACGCAATTGACCCAGTAGTGAAGCGGTCAATTTTCGAGTCTGCAACTTGAGACTTTAATAGGTAAATTCTATCCAAGTATACGCTCTGTGCACAATAAAACCTTACCTTCCCCTCATTCTTTCATTCATTATTGTAGTCTGTTTCAAAAATTGACTTTTAAGGTTGATTTTCTAGTCCAGCTTGTTAATAAAATTTAGTCGCCTCCTTCACTTCCTTATTGGAATTCAATTCAACCTTCTATAAATCAAATATGCATTTTCCACTGTCCTTAGTATTGAGGTTGCTTAATTTCCGACTTTATCTTTTCTTAGTAAATGAAACCGACATGCGTATTTTGCATTGTTCACCATCAGAAACAGCTGCATGAAATGTTTGCAATTCTTGAGTATGTGAGATTTGCCATGCGTGTATGTTACACGAAACCTGCTTTCTCAAATACTCGAGGCTTTTCCATCCTTACTCCATTTTTGATATCTTCTCTGGCGGTTCGAACCGTCATTCCGCAGCAAGAATGGTACTTTTATCAAAACATGCTATATCTGCTTGTGTTGTGCATTAAGTTTTAGGCGTAGCTTGAGACCGGCTTTCACAAAGCCCTACTGTCCGCGTTACGCTTTTGTCTTTGCTAATTTCGCCATTCAAGCCTTATCCATGGTGGGAGGAAGTCGTAAAATGGAGAATGCTTGTTGAAAGCAGTTTGTTTTAAGCCTCGAGAAACTGAACTGCATCTTGAAGCAATTTATCAGATCTTGCCTATGTCACCTCACTTCAAACTTGCATTTCGGATCATAGCAAAGGCGTGGGCAACACCGCCTAAAGCGAATGCAATTGCCCCATTAATTAGGCATTCCAAGCTAATTTACCATCAAAAGGGACAATTTTAACGTATTCGATAAGAGTTTAGTTACCCTAGCCGGCATCTATCGGTTCGACCAATATGGAACGCCAGTCGATTGAACTGACTAGTTATTTGAAAACGGATGTCGCAGTAAAATTGGCATTGGCGACCTCGGAAATACTCGTTCATTACCGGCTATTTTATTCTTATCCTAGCCTCAAAAAAATGGAAGACTCGTTCCGTTCAAACAGTTAAACATTTCATGAACAAGGCTTTGTCCGGACCCTCTTGAAATACATATATTTCCACGTCACCATCAAAATGGTTCGAGAATGTACTCAAATCAGGAAAACATTTTCCCATCGTCAATTAAGAAGTTATGCTGAGTCGAAATCCTTGACTTTTGACAGAAAATTTACTATGTTGTTCCGAATGCTTGGCATTATTATTTGTCCATGCAAGTGCTGTGAGAGAAATAACTTGGGTTCCATGTACTCGAATGATGCTAAATATTTTTCACAATCAAAAAGTCTCATCACTTTGAATTACAGTAACTCATCTTTTATTACTTTCAGTTCTGTACAAAATCAAAGTTCAAATACGCTATCCTCCTATGAAACTTCGTAAGACCTGTTTGTCATGACCCGTCTGGCAGAGTGCAAAGCATATTGGAAGCGCTTGAAACCGCGGCTGTCTGCTAATAGAATTACAGCGTAGTCATAACATTAAACAATTCTTTCCGAAATCTTCTTCACTCTGTTTACCATCCCTTAAAGTCCAAGCTCTCACATTCCACATTACCACAGATGGCTTACGCGATTACTGTCCACTGCAATACTGACCTTCGTGTAGTCCATGTGCTTGGTCGTGACTTTGAACGCCGGCATGGCAGGGACTCATTCGGTAATCAATAATGTCTGTCTCCATGCTAATGCCATTCACAAAGTCCCGTTGTTGGGATCTTCGCCCCAGTTTCGTTGGCTCTGGGCTCGAACTAGAAATACTTTCCTTT